TATCACTTAATTATAGGAGCTGCGGGTGGCCACCCTTTTAAATAAACTGAGCTTATTTCATCTTTTCAGGCTTAATTTATTTTAAGACAGACTAAATCTGAATAGGCACAATTACTTATGTTGCTAGGATTTGTCAATGCTGTATCAAAGCTCACTTGTTTTTTCTTCTAAAAGCACATTTGAGTTCATCTAAATATTCCCTTTGATGCCTTCCCGTATTTAGTTGGCTTTCCATTGGAATATCATTGGTTGTTTGACTTCTTATGCTTGTAGAAACAAGCATTGGTGGTGGAGGACATAATGGAGCTGAACTTTTGCACAACCCTTAAGATGACTGTCTGGTTCATTATGTTATTATGATGTATTGGTTGAGTAGGTAAGCTTGTCTTCTGCATGTAAGTTGAGGTATATCTGAAATGTTCTTTTTGAATAAACATAAGCTTGCCTTCTGTATGTAAGCGAGGACTCAAGATACTCCCCATGAACCTTAGCTCAGCTCGCGCCAACCTGGCCGCCTCCCACTGCTCTTTATTGGCATGTTGGATCTTTCCTCCAGGCCTCGCTTCCTCATCCATTCCTCAGCCGCTTTCAGTTCCCTTCATCACTCCTTCACCCAGCTACCTTCTCTTCTATTTGCTCATGTTTTCTCCCCCTCTCTACTGTTTGGATCATGCCAAAAATGTGAGATTGTATAACTTTAATCGCTTCTCCATGAATGAATGGCAAATTGGTTTTACTAATGACATTGAGCGCTCCACAGGTGTCTAGAATTGTATCCTGGTTGCTGAGATGCAGGACTTGGATTCTGTGCTGTAGACTGTAGTATGTAGATTCTTCCATTTAGTATGCTTCACGTGGAGTCAAATTGGCCATCAACGTTGCAAACATCTGCTCTCAGGTTTGCCTGTCGATGCGTAGTGCTTGTGAGGCTTTTTTGTTTTGAAGCTGAGGATGTTTGGTTCTGGTAGTTCTAGTTTCTGTCATGTTTGTTGCTGGTCTGGCGCATCTGCCTACTCCTGTGTGCTGTTAAAAAAAATGAGACCAACCCAAGGGCTAACCCTCGTTGGCTTTTTTTTATAGGAGAAAACTCCGTGAGCACCGCGTGTCCGTGTCGGGACTCGAACGAACTCGGGTGGGCTGGCAGCAACCTCAGCTGCCCAGCCAACGGGTCGACGCCCCGTCCTCACTCCTGTGTGCTGTTTAAAGTATACTTTGTTACCTGGTTTTGTTTTCAGCAGCGGAAATGGGGCCTGGTCGAGAGTCTTTTTCCTCTAAAAAATCTGGTCTCAGGTGTCTAGAATTGCATTGGTATTACCTATTTGCGTTCTCTGTTTTTATTACTCTAGAAGCTGCAAGTATATCACAGCACTGCATATTACATATTTGCGTTTGCTGTTTCTGTTACTGTTTTCTCCCAAATATTGCTGGTTTGGAGTTTTCAGCGCAATTTCCAGTGATGAAACTAATGTTTACTACAGTATTTGAATCACACACAAATTATGAGACTGTATAACTTTAATGGGTTTCCCATGATTTCTCCACAGGTGTCTAGAACTGCGTTCTGGTTGCTGAGATGCAGGAATGGGATTGTATGCTGCAGGTTCTTCTATTTCGTGCGCTTCACATGTCGATCGACTCTCTGTAGCGCACACTCATCGAGTGTGGAGAGTAACTGCAGGAATTAATCATTTAATTTGATAACTACCCGCTGTTATTACCTAATCGAAACTTCTTCCCGCACAATACTTGTGCCCGACATGTGCACGATGTGCAAATCCAGCGGCTAGTGCCCTTCTCAGTCATATGCATGCTCGGCTGGATTCAATCATCGTCTATGAGTCGTGCAAAACTTGCTGTGTGTATAGCACGACTCTTATCTAATTTCTGGACACAAATAGCCATTCAACTTTCATGATGAATACTTCGTCTTGCTTCAATTATTGGTCCACTAACAGTATTATCAAAGCTTGCCTGCCTGATGGCCTTGGCTTGCATTTGGTGCGTGTGTGTGTCTGTCAGTTTTCATTGTCTCACTCCATTTGCTTATGTTCCATGATTTATCAAGTGCATCGTATGTGTGATAGAGTCTGCGTGTGTTGGAATAATTTCTATTACAGTATTTGATTCTGGCTAGTTGATGTTGTATTGCACCTGCTTGCCTGGCCCAATAATCTGGCCCTGCTAGTATAACTTAAGTCTGTCGCCCTATTTTTAGCTAGGTTTAGGGTTTATATATTCCTGATCCCAGTCGCCATGGCCACCGGAGGCACACCGGAGCTGGAGGAGGAGATCGCCGTCTTCCCCGACTGGGTGATGCTGGATTGCATGAGCCGCACCCACTGGTACGGTGACCTAGCCTCTGGCCGTGAGGCCGTCAGCAGGAACAAGACAGCTGTTGGACTCAACATGGACAGCGGCCACTCCATGACTCCCATGTACGTGTCCTTCACCCTCGCGGCTCCTCCAAGTAACGAGTTGCAGGCGCTTGTTCCATGCGTGTCGAGCTCTGTGTCTTCATCTCCAAGTCATGAAAGTGGACGTTCTTCCTCAAGAATGCCCCACAGAGCAATGGCGTGTGCTTCCCCAACCTCTGGTCAACCGAGCTCCGTGCTCGCATTCGAGGGACGTTTTCTGTGCTGGGTCGACTACTTCAGCGGTGTCCTGCTATTCGATTTCTCCGGCACCTGCTCGCCGGTGCTACATTTCGTGCCATTCCTTTGAGGAATAGAGTACCCTGCCGAGGTACGGGTTAAATGGTGCCTAGTGTGTCCATCAGCAAGGGCGAGATGCGCTTCGTCCACATTGACAATGACTTCCACATTGGCTGCAGGCGAGGGCAGCAGCAGCAACAGCAACAGCGCCAAAAAATCACCACTTGGACTTTGAACATGACATGCTGGTAGCGACTCCAGGTTCGAGTGGGAGCCGCATCGTGTGATCGACCTGGATCGCCTTTTGGCGGATCCTAGTGTACCTCATCGGCGTCTTCCCGAGTTCCCGATCATCAGCGCCGATGGCCCGGATGTTCTGTGTTACCTGTTGCGGAAGGAGGAGTTTCATGGTGAGGCCTCCATGATCGTGGTTGACATGAACCATGCTCACCTGCGGTCGTCTACTCCATATATCAATCGACAGTCTGCGGATGTGAAAGCTCACAAATATTTTTTGCCTTGTGCTTATCCGTCTGCCGAGTGTAAATTTTCAGTCACTCGCCTTTTGTTCGAGGAAAAATGGCAGATGCTCTGCCTTTGCATTATAAATAAAGAACTTACAAGAGTGCTGCTGTTAGGCAGTTGTTAAGATACTTCACTTTTTTCCCCGCAAAAAAAGAAGAACTTCACTTTTCCTTCAGATTTGATGTGCCAAATTTTATTCAGGGTTGGCCGGTTGATGGAGCCCAAGAACTACAGATTGTAGGCCGAGGAGGCAGAGTAGGTATTGGAAGTGGATGCTTTCCAACATATTGTATCAAGCTCCTCAGAGAGGTTGACAAGTTGAATTTGTTGCCAAAGGGACCAGAAACAGTGCATATCTTCAGTTGTTGTCAATCGACGAAGCCTCTCATTCAGTTGCCATTGGATAGTGCAGTTTCTGCCGAGGCGTTCTTCCTCCATGCCAGTTTGTACAGGTTGGGGGCCAAGTTCTTTGGGGCTGCTCCGTTTAGCTAGCAGGAGGACCAACATTTTGTTGATCCTCCGTTACCAAGAGTGATTTCAGTTGCAGCGTTGAACAAGGCCGTGTCCACGGGAGAGCAAGGCAATTTGGTCCCAGTTCAAGGCCGCGAGGGGGAGATCCGGGAGTTCGAGAGCCATCACAGCCTAAGGGAGCGGCTGAACAATTCAAGGTTCTTGATACCTAAGTCCCCAAGTCTTTTTGGTGAACACACTTGCTTCCAATTCACTGCACAATGGATACCCGTGGCTTCTTCCTCACCACGCCAAAGAAAACCTCTCTAGAGCTTGTCAATTGGTTTGATCAACCATTGTGAGGTAGTAGGTGGTGATGGAGGGTCTTTCTGTGTTTATACTCGGCTTGCACTAGTAGAAGCCGAGTAATTCGAAGACTCGGCTTCTACCCGTGCAAGCCGAGCATAAACACAGAAAGACAACACGAAGAAAGGCGCTCGGCTGTTCGGCGGGCGCATACATAGCCTGGTGATCCAAGTGGGATACAATCTTGAGACCAATTTAGTGGTACCACAATTCTTGAGTACGATATAATGGCCATGTGTAAAGTTTGGGGTGATTCTTGGTCAAGAAGATGAAAAGGAAAGGGGCTTTGCTGTAACAGCCCTCTCTGGCGAGCCCCGCGTTGCCTAGCCCGGCTTTTTCGGAAGGGGTCACTCCTTGTGAGTTTTACTCCTTGCTTGTGCTTGAGAAGGTCGTAGGGTCATTTCAAACCCAAAGAGAGGCTCCTAGCAAGAGGTGGACCAGCGGCACTAGAAGAGGGTATGTTCGCACCGGAAGCCCTAGATCTTCCAGCAGGATTGATGTCCGAATTGACTAATTTCAGTCCCGCCTATTTATTCCACAGGAGTGCATTACTATGTTTGTGCTTAGCAAATGTGATACCAAGCCATCCGCAAATTTTCTCCACCGTCTCCAGCAACAGGCAACCCCCGATAGCCGCCCCAAGAATTGCATGACATGGACGATAACGATAAACAAAACCTCAAGTAAATGTACACAATGACAAGATGGGTCGCCTAGGAGATAACTCCTTGTCGGTGACAAAGTGACCAACATATGATATATAGCAGCAGTTCAGTGCAAAAAAGAAAAAAACACGAGGTATCACATTTTTCATACGTAGTGTTTGCAGCGACGTCCTATACCTGGGTGGAAAAGTTATCGACCAACGGGGTTCAGTACCTAATGTTGGATGTAGAGTGCAGACGCGACAGGAGTTAGTCAGACAGAGAGACGGTAGAATCTACAATTGCCAGCTGGTATGTACGCGCAGACCAGCTCGTGTGGGGTGGCAGGTCCGGCGGGGTTCCTTCACAGCTGGGGAGGGGGAGGGGGGTACGCTGGCGGCGCCGAGGCGTGCTGGGGTGGTCGCGGCATGATGCCCCGGGTGCGCATGTATTCCAGGAACTGCCCAGGCAGCTCCTCCAGCAGGCTCTGGACAACGGTGACCTGCCCACCTGCTGATAAAACCGTCATCGATCGATCAGTCGCGCTTGTTCGGCAGTGATACTATAAGCAAAGAGCTGAAATAAGTTGATGGTGACAGAATGCGAAACTAAGGCTGACCTTGGACTTCCCTCATGGGGACAAACTGGACGATGTCACGCGTCGCCACCCTGCCTGTCGAGCTTTGAAGGCGCTTACCCAAGTCCGCATCCAGAGTCTGACAATGCCAAGGAGAATTGCCAGATAAAATATTTACTACTACAAGGAAAATGTTGAGGGGATGAAATATTTATCACATATTCAGTAAATGATTTACCCTCATTTGAGTGAAGTCAGCACCCCCGACTCCCACGATGAGAATCGACAACGGCAAATCTGATGCCCTTACAATAGAATCCTTTGTTTCTTGCTCGTCGGTGATAACTCCATCCTGCATATATACAGTGCTCGGGTGAGTTTTGTGAACAGAGGTCACATGAGGATATTAATGAGTACATACCGTGATAATGAGCAGGACAAAATATCTGTTGTTCCCGTATTGCGCAGAATGGCTGGCAATTTCTGCAGCTTTGTTGATCACGGGCCCAAACAAGGTTGGCCCTGACAGAGAAACACTGTACAGAGTAGAAGAGTATGCTGACATGATGCCTTCAAATCCAACAACCTGTGATAGGAACAGAAAATCCGTAAACTTCAACGGCGGTCTAACTGAGAAATCTAGGTGCCCTCAGCTGGTAAATACAAAAGATTCGAAAAACTGATCTAAGCAATATAAATACCATCAGCTATTCTACAGGTTGCTCTTATTTTCTGGCAACATTCAGCAATATTTCAGGAACAATTACCACACATCATTTGTCGCACCATATTTGCCATACCAATAGGTGACATTTGTGACTATTAAACGAGACGTTAAGAGTACATATATACAAGTAATTAAGGAGGATGAGACAGGGCAAGTATGATAAGACCATATCAGTATTTTGTAATTAATGAGATTTATGAGTCCAACAGGAACCTAATTTCTTAGTAATCGATATCTGCACACTAACATTTGTAAGGAAGGGAAAAACAGGATATGCGGCTGAACACAATTGGGCTTGCAGCATTACATTCTCATGTGTGAAGCATTACTTGTTCAAATACTACTGCAAAAGCAAAACATGGAAACAGAAAAGACTAGTAGCTCCAAAAATCATTGGTTCACAAATATCCAAAAGTTGGTAATAGGGGAATGTTTCTTTTCAGTATCGTCCATTGTCAAAAACTAACTAAAATTAAATTGGCAGTAGCTCTCCAGGCATGAAACTCACCTCACAGTCATTGGTACTTGCATTCAAGTTGAAACAGTGGGATACAGATCCTTGTGGTGTCCTTGCACCAAAACCCCATGCAGGAAATCGTCTATCTTTGTCATAAAACTGCAGAACTTCGCTTACCCCTAGAATTGCCTGGTACATCAAATGGTTCAATAAGAAGGCTTTCAGTTTAAATAATATCTCAGCAATGTCAGAAAATTCCAAACCTGCTGGTATGAGTTTAGTCTGCCAGAGGGGTCAATGTAGTGCAAAGATTGTGGTGTACGAGGGTCGCCATTTGATGCTGGAAACACGTGGAATAACCACACATAAGCCACAGATGATTGACAGAGCTATAGATAAATCATTTAAGCTCCCAACGAGAACTAACCAGTAAAATCTACAGCTACCATAAAATTGAGCTCAAACCCGCTGGAAATATAGTCCAAGAAAGTATGTTGAACTTTTTCCTGGAACGTATCCAAGAACAACTGTCCTTTCAACTGAACACAGATTGGTTACATCGAGAGGTTAGATGGAGTAATTTTTTGTTAAGTAGATTGTGTCATATAGTTGAAATCAAACCTTCTTTTGTCCCTTACGGCTGTAAAAATTTGCTCCAGCCTTTGACTTATATAGATTTTCAAGCTGAGCGATAGTTGTCTGGAGAGCCCTATTTGTCAGAAAAGCAAAAGTAATTAAACTCGGTATCAATGGCAAAAGATGCCAGAATACTTCCTCACCCAACCTACCCCATAAGTTCATGGTCGCCACTGGCATCAAAATCAAAACACTCAACTAGCAGTGGGTCATCCTGAAATAAAGTACATATTAGAAGAAAATATATATTAGATTGACCTTGAATTACACTCTTGCTAAACAAGGCCGACACAAATATTCATATACTAGAAAAATGTACTTGCCCTGCTACTGTATTGTTGTGATGTCAGTGTTATAGGCCTCCAAACAGGGTTTAAGTTGTTATTGATCACTTCTGTTTTACATATAGGAATGGCAACAGCACTTTCTGACAGTCTTGATACTCTCAAGAAGGGATCCTGCACAATAAAAACCATTTATTTAGAACTGCAAGTAATTTGCCACCTTACGACTACCAAGGAAGTTATGCATACACTTTTGGAGAAGGTGTCCTTGTTATCAAGGTTCAGGCAGTGGAATGTCATCTCAACTGCCATCCTTGATGAAGCAGTTTCTTCAGCGTGTACTATCATTGTGCCCTGAAGGGCATGTCCAGAACCATTTCGAAGGTTCAAAGTTAGGCTATGGTTGAACTTTGTGACTATCTGTGAAAAGAGCAAAGGGGTGCAAATAGATATCAGGAGTGTGTTTGTGTTTCTCTCTTCTTAATTTACATTTATTTAGATAAATTATACACCACAGCTGGATTATGCACTGTATCATATAACTGATTTTGCACGACCTCGGATAAATTGCAGAATGCTTCCCCTAGAAAATCTTGCTGAGCCAAGTTCAACATCTGCATAATATAAATGATTCAGGCTTCAATAGTTGCATAAAGTAATAGACTAGAAATTTTAAGCAGGCTATAATGTTGCTGTCTTCTGTGAGTCATTGAAGATAACAGATAGCCTACAGAAAACTTACAATTATTTTTCTCCACAATGAAACAATTAAGACAACTCTATTTGGGTGAAACAAAAACATGAATTAAGGGCACATAATATACCTTCACTGGTGTGTTATGGTACTTTGTGTCAATGTCATATATCCTGAATCTATCATGAGCCCCAAAAAAGTAGCAGTTAGTATGTGCTTTCTACAAGTAATCAGTATGTATATAGTTTTATAAACTTACACGAGGGGTTGCACAATCTCAAATTGGTAATTTATCATAGTTTTTGTGATCCACAATGGTTTCAGTGAATTCAATATCACTTCAGTGCGGCCAATCTCTTCTAGCCTTCCATCCATTTTTGTGTAAACCACCAACATAGGATCACTCTGCACCAAGCAGATGACAGTTATAGCTGAGGAGGATACATACACATACACAAGAAAAGCAACCAAGCAAACACCATAATTTTCTGTTGCACACTTTGCTGTAAAAGGATTTGTACACTACAATTAAAACTTTGACAGTAGAATGCATATACTTAAACACAATGATTGAATATGAATTGATTGGCAATGCAATGATCTTTGGTGTACAAACAAATCAAAATTAAACTGAAAAATAGAGCAACCTATCATGGAAATCAGGCATGCCGCTTTTGGGGATAGCGATTTCAAGTTTCAACTATTAAAAATGTAAGCCATCTTGTTCTTAGCTAAAACTGAATATTAGCATGCATTGTTTTTCTTTACATAGAAATTGTAGGGCTAAATAAAAAATAGTTTATCTTTTTTCGGCGCTAGAAAGGGTGAAAATGGAACAATAAGAGGGTAAACAAATGACATGTGGATACAGAAACACGAATCTGCACTGATTCATACATAATCGTATAGTTTTGTTTGTTTTAAACTTGTTATTTTAGCAAAAGGCCAAAGGATATCGAACATTTAGCAGCATCTACTTCAGTTCCAACAGATTTTAATTTCACTTTTCAAGTTATGGTACAGTAAGATGCACTACCAGAAAGGGAATAGAGATATAGATATTGAAATGCTTCGAATAACTGGATGGTAGTTTTTACCTTAGAAAGAGCATCCATATCTCTCAACTTGGAAGCTGAAAAAGATAGCTGTAATGCAGGAAGATGGTGACATGTCAATCAAGGCAGATCATATTGACGTCCACTATCAGCTAGTTGAGAACTTATTAGCATGCAACACCACCATACACTGAACTGGTTCAAAATTATCTTATTAGCATGCAACACCACCATACACTGAACTAGTTTTAAAATTCTTATTTTTTTTGAAAATTTAAACATATTTTGAAACTTTGAATTTTTTTGATTTTTTTAAAATTAAATCAAATTTAAAATTCTGAACATTTTTTGAAATTCCGAGGATTTTTTAAAATTTAAATGAATTTTGGAATTCTAATATTTTTGAAAATTCAAACAAAATTTGAAATTCTAAATTTGAAAATTTAAACAAAAATTGAAATTCAGAATATTTTCGAAAATTTAAACAAATTTGGAAAATTCTGAACTATATTTGGAAAATTTTAACAAAGTTTGAAATTATGAACAATTTTTAAAAATTTAAACATATCTGAACGTGGTCTGGTGGGTGGGGACGAGGGTCGATGCCAGCATGGCTGCCTCCATGCACCCTCTCTGGGGTGCATGAGATGGACATAGCTGAGGGCCCTTTTTGCATCAGTTGAGCATAGCTCATGCGAGCCCATGCACCCTACCAAACAAACAAAAGTGGGTCGGATTGAGAACTTTTACCCTCATGCACCCTACCAAACACACCCTTAGTGCTCCATCGTCTGCACAACATTGTTCCATTTGTAAAGCAGGCGATTGATGTCCGCCACCACCCACTCCGGCCTAAAATATATTTGACCATTCCTGACCCACTTCCAGAAAATGATCCAGGCGTCAAAATTTCAATCAAAACTAAAACAATGTTTTCCAGAGACCGGTCCATCAAATTTCTATGCGACCACCAATGGAGGAACCGCATGCAGAAACTGAAAATATTACGCAATTAGGATCTTATTCCTGCACAAGCAGATCACCGAGAAATCGCATGCCATTCTGTAAAATAAAAACTTAACAAATTCATCCGCATGCATGCAGTTGATGCCCAAAAACAAAACTTAGGAAACATACAGAATTGAGGTGCGCTAGCGCCGCACATCCGAGTTGGCTCCGACAGAGACTAATTTCCCAGCTACTTAGATGAGAACTCATAAAAGTAGGATTTCGCTACAACTCGAACGTTTTTTTATAGCAGATTATGTTGTCGCCAGGATGGGAATTTGCTTAAAAATCTGACGTCGGATTTTTAACATTCCCCTAAATGATACCGAACAATCTCGTGGACGCAGACCAGCAGACGAAATGCACAAAAACCTAAATATAATACCCACATATTCCCAAAATAACCCAAAACCCAATTCCAGAGACGAGCGCCAGCATTTCAGAAAACCCGCTTCATAGAGTAAAATCCCCCTAAATTGCGCGCATTAAAAAATCGGCGCAAAGCGAGGCACACTTGCATATTAAAAAGTGGGATCTAAACCGGAATCAAAGCGATATACAATTGCAATTTGTAATGCCGAGAGGTTGTCGATAACATCCGCCTGGCCGTTGTGACAGCGGAGCACATTTACCAATAAACAAATGAACGACACCCGAACTCCACCTCGCTTGACAGCGAAGGCCCACCAAATCCCCGTCGCCAGCGGTTCCCTCCCGACGACCCCCAAATTCCCTCCTCGCCCCCCAAAAAAACCCGCCTCAATCGCGACCACGACGGATCCGTGAAGCACAACCATTCTGGGAAATTCTCCATGACTGGCGAGCGAGCGAGCGAGGGCTCGTGGACTGGACTGGGCACTAGCTAGGGTTTCGCGTGGAGGTGGGGAACGAGCAAGCGAGCATCACCTCGAGAGGGGTGTAGAGGCCGCGCAGCCCGTGGCCCTGGAGGAAGTGGTCGAGCGCCTCGTTGGGCCCGCCCTGGCCCTGCCCCGCCGCCGCCCCGCTCGCGCCCCCGCCGATGGCCTCCGTGCCGCCGCGCACGTCGCCGGAGAAGCAGCCCCCCATCCCCGATCCCGACTCCGGAGCGAGCCTGCGGCCCTCAGGTTTGAATACGAGTTTACTTGCTGAGAGAGAGAGAGAGAGAGAGTTGAGAGGCAGAAATCCCCTGCTTGCGGGGGCTTCCGCCAGGCAGCAGCTCATATTTGTAGGCCGCGTTACTTTTTTTTCCTTTTTTTTCGAGAAGAAGCCGCGTTGTTTATATGCCTGCAAAAAGGAAGGAGCCACGGAGTGCGGAGCGCGCGATGTGGCAGAGGCCCACGCGTCAGATGGGCTTGGCGTGAGTTTCCTGGGCTTTTCTCAGAAGGAAACGGCCCCTGTTATTCGGTTACCGATACCAGTATTTTTCACGCGGATGCATGCATAGTGCTCGTACACGGTTTCCTCGTTCTTCGGGGAAAAGACTGAGAACCAAATCTGAGGTCGCCGCGGTATTTCCTCACACGCGGTTCTCTAGCCGTGTGCTATGATTATCATTATTTTCACGAATAATGAGAGAGAGAGAGAGAGAGAGAGAGAGAGAGAGAGAGAGCGCTTATGCATCGATCAACGGGAAATTCACATGGGCACACATGTGTGTGTGTGGGAGCAAGCACCTCCTCGGTGTGTTTCTGGGAGCATTTGTTCACGTGATTCTTCATGCACTTGTTTGTACCCGAAAAACGCCTAAAAATCACTTGTAGATTTTTTTACCGAAAAGTACTGAAGGACTTACTATGCAAGGTTGGCATCACTGAAGACCACCGAACAAACCACCTGTTGCGTGTCATCGTTGCCACCAAGGGTTTACCGTCATAGCTTCGACTTCACCGCAACAAAACAATCTGCGCTAATAGCTAAAGTTGGGATTTCCACACACACTGCTGCTATTGATAGAGAACAGGTTACAGAGTACATATAGTGAGGAGCTGAATTGCTAGCGCAGACGTAGGCATGTAGGCCACAGCTAGAGGAGCGCCACAGCTAGAGGAGCGGATCGTGATCCGTCTGAGCAGCGGGTGATTACAACAGAACCGGCACGCAGGCCGTATACAACACATGTATGAGTATAAATATACAACACTTGTTAACAGGCCCCCGCAGTCGGAACTCCGCCAGGTAGGATGTTCAGACTGGAGCGAAACTCTGTGAAGATCGGCGTAGGAAGCCCCTTGGTAAACACGTCAGCAAATTGAGAGCCGCTCGGGACGTGCAGAACGCGAGCCTCGCCGAGGGCCACCCGGTCACGAACAAAGTGCAAGTCGATCTCGATGTGTTTGGTTCGCTGATGTTGAACCGGGTTCGAAGACAGATATGTGGCGCTGATGTTGTCACAGTATACAAGTGTGGCACGGGATGGAGGGCGATGCAACTCAGTGAGCAATTGGCGAAGCCAGCAAGATTCAACGACACAATTTGCGACGGCCCGGTACTCCGCTTCGGCGCTGGACCGAGAGACCGTGTTTTGGCGCTTAGAAGACCAAGAGATGAGGTTTGGACCAAGGAAAACGCAAAACCCTGAGGTGGATTTCCGAGTGTCAGGGCAACCGGCCCAATCCGCATAAGAATAAGCCACCAAGTCATGGCCAGGAGAGTGATAGAGTTGGAGCCCGTAATGAGAGGTGGCCTGGAGATACCGCAAGATCCGCTTGACGAACTGAAGATGAGAGGTGTGTGGATCATGCATGAAGAGACAAGCCTGTTGCACCGCGTAGGAGATGTCAGGACGTGTCAAAGTAAGATACTGGAGGGCGCCTGCGATGCTGCGATAGAGGGTGGGGTCGGGAACGGGTGCGCCAGCGGTGGCAGAAAGTTTGGACTTTGTGTCGACGGGCGTGGCGATGGGGTTGCAATTGCTCATCTTGGCGCGGTCTAAGATCTCGAGGATGTATTGTTGTTGGGAGAGGAAGAGGCCATGCTTGGAGCGGGTTACGTTGACACCAAGGAAGTGGTGAATGTCACCAAGATCTGTCATGGAAAATTCGGACTTGAGGGATGAGATGATGGAGTGTAAGGTGGAGGTGGTGTTGGCGGTGAGGATGATGTCATCCACGTACAGAAGGAGATAGGCAATGGTTGAACCATGACGAAAAATAAAGAGGGAAGTGTTGCACCTAGAAGCAACGAAACCCAATGAGAGAAGGAAAGCCCGTAACCGAAGGAACCAAGTGCGAGGCGCCTGCTTCAACCCGTACAATGACTTTTTCATAAGGCAGACATGGGTGGGGCGAGAGGAATCAAGGAAGCCGGCGGGCTGATTGCAATAGACGATTTCACCAAGTGTGCCATGGAGAAAGGCATTTTTGACATCCATTTGATGGATGGGCCAAGAGTGAGCAGTGGCGAGGCTAAGAACCACACACACCATAGCCGGTTTGACAACCAGACTAAAGGTCTCGGTGTAGTCGATGCCCTCTTGTTGAGTGAACCCACAGAGAACCCAACGAGCCTTGTAGCGAGCTAACGAGCCATCCGGGTGAAGCTTGTGCCGAAAGATCCACTTCCCGGTGACCACATTGACACCTACAGGTCTAGGAACCAAACACTACGTATCATTCTTTAACAAGGCATTAAACTCATCAAGCATAGCTGTGTGCCAATGGGGATCCTTTAAGGTAGATTTGTAAGAAGAGGGAAGTGGTGAAATATATATCAGTAGAGGAGGTGACGGAAAATAAACGTCTCGGTTGAGCAAAACCAGATTTTGCCCGGGTTGTCATTTTATGTGGGTTTAGAGGAGGTAGGATGGGGACTGCATTGGGGGGAGACGTGGAGGGGAGGGAGTGGCGGCGCGGAACAAGAGGAGGATTTGGTGGGGCCGGAAGCAGAGGCGTCAGGGGAGGAAGGCGCGGAATCAGAGGAGGATTCGGTCGGGGAAGTAGACGACGCGGTAGGTGGCGTGGGAGGAGGGGATGCGTGGGATCCGTTGGGTGGGGAGGTGGATCCGTTGGAGGTAGAGGGGGAGCAGGCGGGCACATGGCGGGACGTGGATGGCTGCATGGGGTCGCAGGGTCCGCCTGCGAGAGATCCGCTAGGGGATGGTGCGGACAAGGTAGGTGGAGCGCAGATCCCGGAACAGATCGCGCGAGGGCATATCAAGGCGGGCGGATCCGTTGCGGATGGTGTGGCTGGGGGCGGCTGTGTGGGCGGGAGGTAGGGAAATTCCGTTTCATCAAAGAGGACGTGACGGGACACGATGACTTTGCGAGTGTGAAGATCGAAACACCCATATCCCTTCTGTTCGAGAGGGTACCCAACAAAAACACAACGGGTGGACCGTGGAGCAAGTTTGTGAGGGCTAGTGGCGTAGAGGTTGGGGAAACATAAGCAGCCGAAAAATGCGAAGATGATTGTAGCGGGGTTGGACGCCGGTGAGAAGGAAGTATGGGGTGTGTGGTGCAATTTTTGTGGATGGGCGACGATTGAGAAGAAGGGTGGCAGTGTGTAGGGCCTCGACCCAAAACTGGGGAGGAAGGCGGGCTTGAAGGAGAAGTGTGCGGACAACGTCGTTGGTGGTGCGTATCATGTGTTCTGCCTTGCCATTTTATGGTGATGTGTGAGGGCAAGAGAGGCGGTAGGTGATGCCGTTGTTGGAGAAGAAGGTGCGGAGGGAGGTGTTGATGAATTTGCCGCCATTGTCACATTGCATGCATTTAATGAGTGTGTGGAATTGGGTAAGGATGTAGAGAAAGAAGGGTTGAAGGGTGAGGGAGGTGTCGGACTTGTGGCGTAACGGAAAAGACCAAGAGTAGTGAGTATAATCATCTAAGATAGTAAGATAATACGCATAACCAGAAAAACTTGTAATAGGAGACGCCCAAAGATCACAATGAATCAGACCAAACGGAGCAGAAGTGACATTATTGGATGAAGGAAAAGATAAACGTGGTTGTCTTCCAAGTTGACAGGCAGTACAAGAGGAGCTACGAGCATTATTACAATCGGGAAGTAAAGTCTTGGAAAGGGAAACTAATGAGGCCTTGCCCGGATGGCCAAGCCGCCTGTGCCATAGATCACCACTCGTAGTATGGAATGCAGCGCCGCCGGTGGAAGGGTTGCCATGAAGCGGGTAGAGTGGACTGGGACTACTGGACGTCATGATGAGTCTCCTGGTGAGAAAATCCTTCACAGAAAAACCATGGGGATTAAATTCAACGGAAACATTATTGTCAGTGGATAATTTGCGAACAGAGATTAGATTTTGGACGACACCAGGACAGATGACAACATCACGAAGGGAAAGATGGGAGGGAGAGAGGGTGGTAGAGCCCGTAGCAACAATAGGAAGATGAGCCCCATTACCAACAGTAATACTTGAACGAGAATGCTTTGGAAGAGAACGAGACGTAAAGAGGTTACCAGAGTTGCCGGTGACATGAGTGGAGGCGCCGGAGTCGAGGAACCATTCTGCACCAGTGTTGGGGAGGTCGTGCTGGCTGGAGGCGGTGTTGAAGAGGGCGGCGTGATCCCATGAGGAAGGGCCCGACAGGTACGGTGAGGGAACGGCGTGAGGCGCTGGTCCAGAGAACATCATAGGGTAGACCTGTGAGTGCACGCCGGGGCGAGGGCCAAGGACCCCCGCAGCATTGGGAGGTGCCCAGCCAGGGCGGGGAGGAGGCAGTGCCATGCTGTAGGGCGCGAAGTAGCCCGTCCACGGAGTCGCCGGCGCCTGCTGAGGGCCGCGGCCGCCGGAGTCAGGACGCCCCCGGCCTCGGCCGGAGCCACCGCGACCACGGCCACGGCCACGATCAGTGCCAGAGCCACGGGCGCCACCGGTGCCACGCCCGGCGGGGGCGCCAGGAGGAGCGCGGTCGCCGCGATCACCGGAGCCACCAGAGCCACCGGAGCCGCCGGAGCCACCAGGGCTGCCGTTGGTGATGGAGAGGGCGGAGGCGCCCTCGGTGGCAGCGCGGAGGGAGAGATTGTACTCAGCGAGCTCGAGGCGCGAGCGCACCATGCCGAAGGGAGGGAGTGGGTTCGTGTCCCCCAGCACGATGCGGATCGTCTCGAAGCGCGGCGCAAGGCCGTGAAGCAGCTGCATGGTGAGGTCGTAGTCGGTGACGGCGGCACCAACGTCCGCCAAGTTGTCCGCCAAAGATTTAAGGCGACGGGCGTCCTCGACGATGGGTAGATCGCCCTGCTGCAGATTCCTGTACCGACGAGTG